AATAGGACACTATATAGGTGTGTATAATATTTCGGTTTCTCACCGCGCTTTGTGATTAGGACAATTGAACCTTTTTTCTGCTCGCATGTGGCGAGTTTAGAAACATTTGGTCGCTCATACACACGTATTGCAACAACCGTGTCCTGGTAGGTGGTCGTGACCAGACATGTGCACCAGCAAAACATTCGTTTCGTTTTTCGGATTCGGGTCCGAAATTAAATTAGTTTGCGGACTAGACACGTGCGATTCGTTTCGTTTCCGAATCGAAATTCGGACGAATTTTCGGAAATTGGGATGTATCCGAATTCCCGAATGACAGACATAACGAATGCAAACGAATCCGAATTTCCCGTTTCCGAAATTCGTTAGCGGTAGTTCGTTCGGACGTTCGTTTCGTTCGTTGGAGCAAAGGAGAAAAAAACATTTTCCCCCTCAAATGCCACTTTGCTGCAAACGAACGAACGGACTACCGCTACCGAATCCGAATTGACTTTCACCCCCGAATCCCGAAATAACACAAATCCCAATTTAAAACGAAACGAAACAAATTTTTTGGCAGTGCGCGTGTCTATTTCGGGCTACATTCGTTAGCGCTAGTCCGGCCCAAATCCATTATTGGACGAATTTCATTGCAGCAAAATTAAAAATTTTTTTTTACAGTCTGCAGAAGATGGAAAAAAAAAGCCTGGGGTCCCCCCCCCCAATTCATAGCAGACCCTTCAGGTCGGGTAGGAATGTTAGGAGAATGCCAATTCAAAAGCAAAAACTTTATCCATTACTGGACATGCCCCGGATTAGAACCTGCGACCTTGCCAACGGCAGTCCTGTGCTCTACCCGCTACTCTATTACCTCTGTCCTGTAACCATGTGATCTATATGAATGTAATATGTAGCATCTGACAGCTGAGAATGTCAAATGGGCGGAGTGAGCCGTGACGTCATGGCTCGCTCCGCCCATCTTTTGACATTCGGGCTGAACGTCATTTTGCGGCGGTCTGTCAGGGGGGATACCAGACCTTAAGGGTATGGTATGGATTTTGGGGGGAACCCCACGCACTTTTTTGTGTTATAACTGAGGGGGGGAGGGGGGTCCCTCCTAACATTCCTACCAGACCTGAAGGGTCTGCTATGAATTTGGGGGGGAACCTCACGCTTTTTTTTTTTCTCCATCTTCTGCAGTCTGTAAAAAAAAATAAATGTCATTTTGCTGTCATAAAAGAATTTCGGCCGGACTACCGCTAACGAATTTGGGGAAATCGGGAATTCGGATTCGTTTGCATTGGAATTGGGAAGCATCCGAATCTCCGGAAACGAACCGAATCGCACACGTCTAGTCGTGGCATCGGAGTGTTTGGCTACATGGAGTGCGTTCAGCGCACAGAAACACTCACTGGTACGCCGGGCTGGGACTGTTACATTTCACCGCCACGTGCCGAGATACCGACCCCCCCGGGACTTGCACATTGTCTCATCACATTCATAATATTCACACCGAGCGCAACTTACCCGCTACACGATCTAATGACTTATAATCCCGGTGACACTCAGGATGAATCTTCCCATTGGGGACACAGAGAGACATGAAGACCTGTCAGTGGCTCTCCCCCTCCCCCGCTCGGGGGGGGGAACCTCAACCGGAATCTGTAACTCCAGGTCGCATGGAGAGTAGTCCCCCCGGCACTGCAGAGGTGGAATGCTCGTGTTTGGGGGTGCAAATACTTTATCTCGCGCCCCCCGATACTACAGAACATGGACGGGCCCTCGCCATCCTCCCCTAAAATGATGGACGGATTGTTCTGGATGGCATCAGAGAGCTGTTAAGTCTCCTCGGGGGCGGGGTCACATGGAGGGGAGGAGCTCTTTGGGAGTGAGGAACATAATATTCATTTCCCCCCCTGCAGTGCGGGGGTGGGGGACATTGGAAAGCTGCCAGGAGATGAGGACACCAATGACGGTTCCTCCACCCAGGCGCGCTGACCCCCGACCCCTCCAATCAGCACCCCATAGGAAGGACATGTATAGGACGCCACGTTCCGGTCTCTGCTGCCCGAGGAACGTCACCGTTGTTACTACTAATTGTTCTCCTCAACCTTCCGATGTTCTGCTGGAAGGGCGGCACCACCCGGCTCCCCATTCATGTTGTGTCCTGCGGCTGCATGGAGTGAATGTACCAGGTGACAGACACACCCCGGGCAGCTGAGGACCTCTCGTGTGTATACAGAGCTCCGCCCCTTATTCCGGAGGATCCCACCCAGAAGACGAGCCGCATACTGGATCTGAGACCCCTGGAGGGTGGTGCCGCCGCCTCCTCCATGGTGGTGACATCATCCGATCTATCCGTGTGCATTATGGAATGTAACGAGTGTGTGATCATGTGACCCTGGCCACACCTCCAACCGTCCCCTCCTCCCAAGACTCTCCTGCTCCCTCTTCATCTCCTCCCATACTCGCCTCCAGGACTTCTCTAGAGTCTCTCCCCTCCTCTGGAACTCTTTACCCCAACCTGTCCGTCTGTCTTTCACTCTAACTACCTTTAGGCGATCCCTTAAGACTCATCTCTTCAGGGAAGCCGATCCCACCTCAAACCATTCATACCCACACAGCTACCTCCTCGTGTATCACTGGCCCCTCCCCTTTTAAATTGTAAGCCCTCAGGGGCAGGGCCCGCCTTACCATCTTGTCACTGTAATGTCTTCCGTATATATTGTACAGCACCACACAGACTGTTGGCGATATAGAAGTCCTGTATAATAATAATAATAATACATTGAATCTCCCTGCCCCCCCCCCCCCCCCCCCTCGGCGGTCCCCCCCCCCTCCTTAGGGTCGGCCAAAAT